CCCTCCCCATCCCCCTCCTCTTTCTCCTTAACGCCCCTCCCCTCCCCCACGGGGGCTGGCCTTGCTGCTTCCCTCTGGCTGCCTCTGTGCACGCGGCCCTGCTGTCTCGCAGGAGGTGAACCGTGCTCCACAGCTGCTCTACGACTTCCCCTGGCGCCACATCGGGAAGCTGGCCTTTCTGGTGCGTGTCTGATGGGGTCAGGGCTGGGGGCGGGGGTGTCTTAGCCCCCAGGAGCCCAGAGGAGCCTGGCAGACGCTTGTCCTTCAGGACGTTGACCAGGCGTGCCATGGCCCACGAGGTGCAGGCACAGCCCGAGGCCTGGGGAGTGTCCCGCGTGGGGACGGCTCCACCCCTGGAAGTGCCCTCCTGCCAGGCTGGGTGTCCTGGCTCTCATCACCAGGAAGACTTCTGGCTCCTTGGTGGGGACAATAAAGGGGGGCAAGGAGGAGGCCGCAGATGCGCTCCATCCAGACGCCCTGGGCCGGGCCTGGCACTGGGCGGGTGGCAGGGACGTTGGGCCCTGGGTGCAGGCTGGACTCGAGGGCCCAACACAGCCATGGGCCCACGGGGTCCGCCTCCCCCAGCCCAGCACGGTGGGCGCCGGGTTACAGCTGCCCTGAGGCCCCTCCCCCACCCGCACCCCCAGGAGAAATCTGGTGGCAGGACAGAAACAGGGGAGCCCCCTGCAGAGGGCCTGGCTGATGCTGTCCTCTGGCTTTCTTGGTACGTCACATCGCGTCTCTTCTCTGCTCAGGGCAAGAAGTTTGAGCTCTGGCCGGACGGGCTGCCCGCGGCCCGGAAGCTAGTGTACCGCACTGGCTGTTCCCGGCGCTCCCGCCACCTGCTGCACCTGCTCAGCACCAGCCACCAGCTGCACCTGACCCTGCAGCCCGCGCTGCAGCAGCTGCGGCAGCTGGAGGAGGCCCAAGGTGGGGCCGTCCCCTCTGCGCACCCCTCCTCTGCGGTCTAGGCCAGACGCTGGGTGCGGCAGCCGGCATCACACCCTGTTTTCCCAGCGGGGGTGTTGGCAAGGGGTTGGTGGCGACCCCACTCCTCCAGCTCTCCTGGGGCCTGATTCTAAAGATGGGGGCCAGGGGGAAGCGAGGCAAGGGCTGCAGTAACCCCCAGACGGCTCCTGGAGGCCCTGGCAACGCACGCATGTGTGTGCGAGCATGGAGTGCCTGTGTGCACATGTGTGCACGCCTGCTTGCGGGGGCTGCTTGGGGTCCCTCTCACTGAGACCTGGGAGCCCTAGGGCCATGAGCACAAGGGCGAGTGTTAGGAGTTTACCGGCTGCCGGTGACAGATCCCACCTGGGGGCCTGGGCTATGACAGCGGACACTCGGGGCCCTGATCTCCGGGTGGCACTTCCCTCCCCCGACTCTGCATCTTCCGGGGCCTGGCGGTGGGCTGGCCCCCTGGGCCTCTGTCAGCCACCTGCGGCTCCGCCTCCAGCGCTGTTCTTACACCGGCACCTCCCCTCCCCCCGCACAGAGAAGTGCTACCGGGAGTCCTGCGTCAGCGACGAGCTGGAGCTGGAGCTGGGCCCGGCCAGCAGGGCGCCCCCCGGCTCCCCTGGCAGCGGGGACAATAGGGACGGAGGCTGGCATCCCCCGCACCGCCTCTTACTCCTCTCGTCTGGCAGCCACTGCAGCTCCCACTCATCGGGCATCGAGGCCGACTCCCAGCTGGCAGGGCCCGTGGAGCCCGGGGAGATGTCGGTGGATGAGCCTGTCGTCGGGGCTGCAGCGCTCCACGGGGAGGAGCTGCCCAGCAGCTCCAGCACCAGCCAGAGCAGCCGTGGCACAGTTGGTGGCGGCAGAGGTGGGCCTGCGGGCGACACCCGGGACCAGGGGGAAGGTGAGTGTGCTGCTTGGCTAGACACCGGCTGGGTCACCGCTGTGGGTGCCGGGAGAGGCTGGGGTGCTCGTGACCCTGATTCTGGGGACCTTGTTACGCAGGGGCCCCTCCACCACAGGGCCTGGGACCAGAGAAGGGAGGACAGGGCCCTCCCTGCAAGACGTGGTGGCTGGTGGTCCTTCAGTCCCCCTGCCGCTGGTAACCCCTAGGGAGCCTGGCCTGGCCAGCGTCCCTCATGTAAGATCCCATCGGAAAGCATTCAGCCAGGTTTCTCTCTTGCTACCCACGGGGTCAGTAGAAGTCACATGACAGTCGGCCACTTATGAGCCATTCTAGGACCAAGCACCCACCCAGCTTAGCATGAGCTCCTTGTCCCCACAGATGCTTCCACAGTAGGTCTGAGAGTGGGGGCCCTGAAGTGGTTCCTTGTCACCCCAGGAAGGTTACACAGGCTCTGCTATTCCCTGAGCACCTGCAGCGTCTTTGAGTGGATGCAATGGGTAATCGTGGGGACCAGCCTCAGGGCCTGGCCACCCAGGTCCACCTAGGGTCACCCAAGGTTATGCAAGTTCACCCAGCATCACCCAAGGCCACCCAGAGTCATTCAGGGTCACCTAAGTTCACCCAGAATCATTCAGGATCACCCAGTGCTACCCAGGGTCACCTAGAGTCACCCAGGGTCACCTAGGGCCAACCGGAGTCATTCAGGGTTACCCAAGGTCAGCCAAGATCACACAGTGTCAGGTGGTTTTGGTCAACCTGCCGTGTCCACCTTTACATTCTGAGCGATAAAGGACAGATCGGTCTCCATCTCTGAGGTTTTGCCCAAGTGTGTGGTCTGCAATCTGGTATGAGCAATAATAATGATAAGATGGTGTTTGCCCAGTAAGCGCCTGCTTTGATTAGACATCAGAGCACTTGGACAACTAAAGCAGCCCGGTGCGGAAGGACAGGGCAGTGTGAGTTGGGGGGGGGGGGGGGGCACAGAAGCTGCCCGTGAGTCCGGGGGCAGGGCGGTGGGGAAGGCGGAAGGAACCTGGACATCCTTAGCGACGCCCCCAGCTGCCGCATTAGTCTCGGCACATGGTGGAAACATCCTTATGGTTGAAGCCCCCTCTGCTGGGTTTTCTGATTCTGAGACCAGAGCATCCTGATGGCCACAGGCTGAGAAACCAGGCCTGCCCTCATGGTCCCGTGCTGGTACCCCTGATCCCCGCTCTGTCCTCGCTGGGGACGTGCGGTCCTGCTACCTTGCTGATTAAACCATGGGGTTGGCGGGGGAGCCGGGGGGGGGGGGGGGAGGCGGGGAGTGGGTGGGGTCCTGGGGGACCCTGCGGGGAGAAGGCTGGGACAGGCGGGGACCACCTAAGGGGAGGAGCCCGGGTCGCCCACGGAAACCATCGCTCCTCGAAAGGGCTCTGACACGTCACGTGGAGAAGACACGTGATAGTCGGGGGTTCCAGATGACCTGCAGGGAGGAGGCCAAGGTCACAGCCCACCTCTCTGTGACCCCGAGGCCTGAGAGGAGGGGTGCGGGAACCATAGAGGCACCCAGTCTCATCTCAGAGTTTGGGGCCCTGGGGTGGGCTGCCCTTTGTAGGGAGCAGGCAGGTGTCCCCGGGCCCTGCTCACGTGCCCTCGCCCTCCTCGCAGCCTCTCCCCAGCAGCCCTTGGCCGCGGTGCGGGTCACGCTGGTGAGCACGAGGGGCCCGAGCGCTGAGGCCCTGCACCAGGTAGGTCCCCACGTGGGCCAGGTGGCCTCTCCCTGCTCTGCATCGCGCCCCGTCAGGTCAGGGGCTCTAGGCCAGCCCGAGGGTCCCCGGGAGACTCGTCGGGCAGTGGGGGACCGGTGAGGCTTTAGGGAGTGTAGCGGATCAGGAGCTGGGTCTCCTGGGCCTCCGGCCTCCGCGGCTGAGAGTTCTCAGCTGAGAGTTCGGCCTGCCGTCCACCGGCCCCGCCCCCTTCCCAGGCGGTGGGCGGTGTGAACAAGGCCCGCACAGCTTGGGCCCCAGGAGTGCGGGGCCCTGGGGGGCTGCGCCCCGGCCCCCAGGAGCAGGAGGGAGGCCAAAGCCAGTGGCCCTGGGAGGTGGAGCAGAGGAAGGGGTGGCTGGAGGCGCCGGGCCTTGCTTAGGGCGGACCTGGGGGAGCCCCAGTGGGCGGGTGGTGACCCTGGAAAGAGAGTGAATGTTAAGGTGCGATTTGACTCAGAGGGAGGCGGGCGGGCGCGGGGGCCCGGCAGGAGGTTGGAGTTCAGCGGGGGCGAGGGCGGGAGGGGGAGAGAATGGAGGGAAGGGTGCGGCGGCTGCAGGACGGCCTCGTGGTCTCTCCCTGCAGGTGCCGGAGGCCCAGGCAGCAGCCGGCCCCGCGGCCCCGCACAGCCGCAGCGTGGACGACGCGCGCCCCGCCCCGCGCCCCGCGCCGCGCAGCTGCCCCCCCCGCCGCGCGCTGGACCCCGGGCCGAGGAGGTCCGTGAACTCCCGCTCCCTGGACCTGCTCGGAGAAGACCTGCTCCCTGAGGAGTTTGTGGTGTAGATGCCTCGGGGCACCGCTTCACCCCCGCAGGGCCCCGTCCGCGCCGCACGGCTCCGCCCACTTGGGACTCTGTCCCTGCAGCGCCGCTCCATCCACGCGGGGCTCCGTCCATCTCTCCATCCACGTCTCGCCGGCCCTCTCTGCCCTGGAGGCTCCCACCTCCGACCGCCAGGCTGAACGGGGCCTCTGGCACCGCCCCTTTTACCTGGCGGCTTTGCACCTTCACCTGTCTGAGGGGTGGAGCCAGCTCTGTCACGCCTGGAGGTGCCGACGAGGTCTCACTTTCCCTTCTGCTTGGAGTATGGCCGTCCGGAGCATCTTCCTCGGCAGAAGCCGAGGTCCGCGGCTCCAGTCTCTAAGCAGTGGCGCGTGGGCCGTGCTGCCTCTAACGCTCGAAGGAAGGTGTCTCAGCTCAGGGGTCCCCAACCGCCCAGCCTTGGCCTGTTTGGAGCCGGGCCGCACAGCATGCCCTCCGGAGCTCGCATTACCACCTGAACCATCATTCCCCCCACCCCCACCCGCCATCCCGCCTGTGGAAAGATTGTCTTCCACCAAACCGGTCCCTCATGCCAAAAAGTTTGGGGACCAATGTCCTAGCTGCTCGCGGACATTGGAGAGACCTCTGGGGTTCCCCTGCCACCAACTCCTCGATGGATGGTGAGACCAAGAACAGCAAGCTTCCCGGGAGTCCGTGAGCTCACAGTCACCATCGTTGTCACTGCACTGGCCACAGGTTCCCCAGACTACCCTCTCTGCAGCCCCTGCTGTTCACAGCGCTGGGCCCACTGGACAGAGGCGCCTCTGTGAGCCATGGGCCCAGCTGCGTCACCCCAGACCCTCAGCTGAGCCCACCTTGTCTGCCGTGTGTACACAGAGGCACCGGGCCTGGAACCGAACCGCACAGCCACGTGGACACTGGTCCCGTGGAGCTGGTGGCAGGAAGTGGGAGGGGCAGGCTAAGGAGGAAGCCATGATCTACTCTTGACTCACAGAAGGAAGGCTCCAGAAGAAAGCCTGCCAGCGCAGAGCCTGAGTTTTCTCCTTCCCATCGCAAGTCAGGCTCTGAAGGTGGTCCTTCCCCACCTCCTGCCCCAGTATCCACCCAGCCCGGAGGGCGTCTGGGCACCAGGGAGCCGTGGCATCTAGTCAGCACTGGTCACCCCCCCGCCCACCGGCCATTCATTGCCCCTGCCCCCTCCCCGAGTCAGAAGACTGGATGGGAGGTGGGGACAGGGATGGGGTCGGACCGCCAACCCCCCTCGTCTGGGGCAGGAGACCCCTTCCGAGCTTCGCCACCTCTCCAGCTGGCAGCTCCACAAGTGGCTGAATGGCTGAGTGGAGTTTCACAGCGATTTCTGGAAAAGCATATTGAGGGACTTTGACCTTCGCTGGGGGCCGTACTGGCCGGTGATTAAGAGGCCGGTGAGCAGGCCGAGTGTCCCACTTGGGGCTGGACCCTCCGGGGTCGGGGCGCCCAGAGGGTGGGCTGTAGTTAACGCTGTGCTTTCCTGTCCAAGTCACGGCAGCTGCCCCAGGGCTGAGACATGGCTCCCACCGCGCCTACGTGCAGGGGGCCTTCTCGAACCGTCCACCTTATGGACAGTGCAGAGTGGCTGTGCTGAGCCCAGACGGCGGAGGGAGCTGGCCTCAGGCTGGCGCTCTGTGTCCCCAGAGGGAAAGGCAGGGCTGGTGCCGTGTCTCACCCATCTCCTGACCCCAGCTGGGCCCTGCATTCCTTGCTCTGGAACAGGTGGGACTCCACCACCCTCCCAGCCTGAGGCTGGTGACAGGCACGTGGCGTGGTGTGGCTTAATTCACCTGTGCGTCCCTCTGGCCCTCCCCCCCTTGCACACCTGCTGCCCTCTGTCTGGATGCACTGACCTGTGTGTCACTGTCAGACAGTCCCAGGCGCTGTGCCCGAGACACCATCGTCCCGTCCCTGTTCTGCTCACGCCTTGAGGACCCAAGGGCCATGTTTTGGGGACAGGATGGAGCCTGAGCCCAGGGGGCGGTGTCTGCAGCCTGGCCTTAACCGGGCCTCTTGGTCCTTCCCGTGAAAGGAAATCGCGCTCGTGTGCACACCGCGCATGTGTAATGAAGAGCTGCACACACGTCCGTGTGTCTGCACCTGGGCAGCCTGCGCCGGGGGCGGGGCGCCGGGAGGCTGGGCGGTGCGGCCACACTGAGTACTAGATTCTCGCGGTGAGAGTTCCTGGACACCGAGAACTTCACCTCGTGAAGAACCACGGTGTCCTAGCACTGCGTGGACGGAGGAGCTTGGAGGAGAGACCAGCCCCCCGCCCTTGGAGTTCATATTTGTCTAAGTCGTTTTTCCAAGAAGCATGGTGGGGGCGGCTGAAGGGCGATGGTGCCATGGGGCACGGGCCGGCAGGGTGGCCAGGGGTCGGTCGAGGTGGCCTCATCTGCTCAGTCTTTCCCTCATTAAGCAGATGTCACCGAGTCAGGTCACGTGCCAGCACTGGGTGGACGCCAGACGGGGTCAGCACCCCCCAGCACGGAGCGCGGTGAGGGCCAGGGTCGGCCGTGGTAGTGCTGGACCTCCCGGGCCGCTCTTCAGAGTCCCCTGTGCAGGAGGTGCCCACATGCCCAGCTGGGCCGCCCCAAAACAGGGCTCCAGAGGACACCTAGCCTGTGGCCACAAGAGCAGGCAGCGAGGGAGGTGTGGTCAGGGCCCTGGAGGACAGGGATGGGCATCCAGAGCTGTTGCGGGCCTGAGCCCCTGCTTTTCCGTGAGTTTCCGAGGTCACACTGAGTCGGGTCCCCATGGGTAAGAACTGAGGCTGCATCTGCCCTGGTCTAGGGTCCTTTAAAGGAACTTTTGGGAGCAAGAGCCCAGCCTAACGGACTGCTTTGCGGTCCCACACACACCCATACGTGTGCACACGCAAGCACACGCGTGCACACGAACGTGGGCAGAAGTGGTGAGTGGGCGCGGAGCGGTGGAGGGAAGCTTTCACCGGGTGCCCACTCGGAGCCCCTCGCGGGGACTCGGAGCTCCGGCGTCTGAGCGCCCGCTCCCGCCCCCGCGCCCGCGCGTCCCGCGACTGCCACGAGAGGGCGCCGGCGGCGCGCTGTGGCTCCGGGGCGGCAGGGACCTGGAGGCATCCCGCCCGCGCGGCTCAGGGGCGGCTCTGGAAGGCGGGGGCGTGGCCTCGGGGTTGGGCCCGTTGGGGGCGGGGCCGCTCAGGCTGCGTGGCTTCCGACCTCGAACGCGGGCTGCGCCTGCGTCTGTCACCCCTGATCCGACCCACCCCGACTTGAGGGTGGCCGGCGCCACGGGCCGAGGGAGGCTGCGCGCAGCCCCTGTGTCCTTGGCGGAAGAGGCGGCAGGGACCGCTGGCTGACCCCGGAAACCACCAGAGCTCTGTTCCTATTTCTGCGCTCCCTCTGGGCCTTGCGGAGACGCGGCAAACGGCCGCGTGTCCGCTCAGCACCGGGGCTCCGCGGTGGTGGGCAAGCGCAGGACGGTCAGGGGCCACGCGGCCCCGCGCCCCGGTCTCCAGCCCCGCCCCCTACGGCCTCCCTCCCCGTCCCGCCGGCCCGGAGGCCGCGAAGGTCGGCAGCGGGGGCCCCTCCCCAGGCCAGGAAGGAGGCTTCTCTGCAGCGGCGGGAAAGCCGTCTCTTCATCTTGCGTGGGGTGGGACCCAAGGCCTTTCGGGCAAGGCAGATGCTGCAGACGCCCCGGAAAATGGGTGTTAGCCAGCAGGGGACCGGCAGTTTGTGAGGGCTCACTCAGGACTGACCCACCTTCGCCCCGGGGGTCGTGGGGCCCCCAGGGCTGCGGGGGGCGCCCCGACACGTCTCCCTCCACACTCGTCAGGGCTGAGAGGCAAGACCCTCAGGTTCCCTCTGGACGCTGGAGGGCGGGCGGGCGGGCAGATGGCTCAGGAACGAGTAGGCCGGACATGACCACCGGCTCCCCGTGAGGCCAGAGGTCACGCTAGCAGGTCCAGTTCCCGAGAACCCCGAGGGCTTGTTCAGGGCCAGCCACCCACTGCTGGGCCCTGGGAACCTGCATGTCGACCAGCGTGGCCCATCTGCCCCGGGGAATCTGGGGCCAGAGAAGCACCGCAGCCTAACCTGGCGGCAGGTATTTGGGGGCCTCACTCTCTCGGTCACGGGCCAAGACTCCAGGGTACGTGTCCACCCGGCCACCTCCGCTCTGTGAAGCCTTCTCTGCCCTCTGGCCCTGGCTCCCTCTTGGGAGACAGAATCCGTATTCAGGGTGTCCTTTCTCCAGAAAAGCCTGATGCCCCAAGAAGGGCTGCATGGGCTTTGAGACTCGGAAGAGAGGACCGCATCCCTCAGCTGTGTCCGGAGACCCTGGGGGCAGGCCCCGCCCGGGGCTCCTGCGGTGGGGACTCTGCGGCCCAGGCACGGAGGAGACGGGCCTCTTTACTGCGCCAGGCAGGGCGAGCTGACCGCCAAGCCATGAGCATTGGGCTTCGGGCCCCATCGGCATGTTCACATGGTGACACTGTTTGGAAAAATTTGCAGGACTGGGACTTTTTAACCGTCAGTGGTTAAGCTGACTGTCCCTCCACCCACCGTGCACCCCGTCACCCTCCCCGTGGGCGGAGCCGGCGGGTACTCGGGGCCCAGCCAAGGGGGAAGTGGGGTTTGGTGGGAGATACCCGCGGGGTTCACAGTCACGGACAGCTAGACGGGGACAGCAGTGGCCTGCGGGAGGACCCCTGCAGTCAGAGGTCACGTCTCGTGGGGACCTTGACCCCCCAGTGCCGGAAGCACGCGGCAGCAAAGCTGGCACCGCGGGAGCGGGGGCGGCAGGGAGGCCCACGGCTCACAGACCTCCCAGGCCCTCCCGTGGCTGTGAAGGGAGAAAGCTGCAGACACCAGCGTCGGGGGAAACCGGGAGAAAGCAGGGTGACTTCCTCGGTCAAGGACGTGGTCGAGGATGCAGCCAGGAAAGGCTGCGGGTGCTGTCGGATGACGTGGTGGAAGTGTCTCGCGGAGTTCTGTGGTTCTCAGTGCTCTTCACCTGCTTTTGAAAAGTTTAGAAGTTGGGACTTGATGGTGTTGAAGTTTTTCTCTAGGTATCTGTCTGCTACCTACTTTCTCTAGGTATCTGTCTGCTACTTACTTTCTCTAGGTATCTGTCTGCTACCTACTTTAGAGTGCAGCACCTTATTTTTTTTACCTTGCGGGAGGGTCCCCATCACCGTCAGTTTATATAAGATTCAGGCCTCAGGCCCAGCCCACCCAGGCCTGCCAGGGGCTCTGCCCGAGGACCTCTGGTCAAAGACGGGAACGTGTCCCAGCGCCCCCTCTGCTCTCTGCCTCCTCCCGGGGGGCGTGGGGCTCCCGTGAATGCAAACCCAGCTTTCCTCCGAGAGCAGATGTAGGAACACGTTAATCGTTAATACACCTCGGCCACCTGAAAAGGCCACTGCCCCCCGGGAATCTCGTGGGCATGGCTGGAGGCTTTGAGGGGGCGGGGGGCAGCCAGCAGAGGGACGTGCGGGGTGGATGTAGCACAAGGGCTTGGGCTGCCCACGCGGGCAGCTCGGCCTGGCGATGGGCTGGCAAGTCCGGGAAGCAGGTTCCCCAAAGTGGCAACAAGTCCCCAAAGCAGTTATTTGACAAAACTTGGGGACGGCCAGCTCCCTCCCTCAGCTGTCCTTGTACGAGGCCTGTCCCGGGACAGCAGGGCGGCGGCACCTGGGTCTACCTGAGAGGTTCTGGTCCACACACCTGCCCCTGCTGCCGCTGTGTGGACGGGGGCGCAGACATGGGGGTCACATCTAACCCCCGACTGGTTATGGAGTCTTCGAGGGCGGGGCTTTGCCCCATGTACGGAACAGCCCGGTGCTCCCACAGGGCGCGGCGTCGTGCAGGGGGCTTCCCAGGGGTGGCCCCGTGACTGAGTGAGCGAGTGGACATGGGCAACACGCCCGATGCAGGTGCCCAGGGCGCCCAGGGGGCGGTGCCGGCTCCCTCTGGGCCCCACGAGCCCTGCCTCCGGCCCAGCCCGGGCCTCCCCCGGGAGGGAGGGTGTGGGCAGCTGCCCGCGTGCCTGGACCGCGGGAGCCCCTGGAAGCCGGACGGCGTGCTGGCGCCCCACAGGGACGCCACGGTGAGCCTGAGACCCCACGTCTGCTTCCTCCGCAAATGAAGTGTTTTCTGTTTCTGCCGACAGCACAGAGTCAGAGAGCTGTTCTGTGCTCTGTCCTGAGGCTGGCCAGTGGCCACTCTGAGGGCTGGGACGTCGTCGGCCACGACGACGTGCTGGCACAGCCCTGGTCGGCCCCCAGGACCCCTGCCCTTGGCCTGTGGCAGCTCTCACCCCTCCTCCG